ACTGGATTTCCAAAACAAAAGATTGTTTCAAAATAAATATCTTCCATATACAGAACAAATGTTCTTCGTACACATCCACAATTGCTCATGCAAAAGCAATTTGTAAAAAAAATAAAAATAAAATAACCATTAACACTTATTCAATAAAATTGACGTTTCAAATTATAACGATTATAAAATTAATAATTTAGATATATTAATGTACTAGAAAATTCTACAAAAAAATGTAAGTGAAGGAAATTCAGAAGTGTACAAATAAACTAGTGGGAGGCAACCATTAGTTCAAATAATTATTATTATTTCTTTTTAATGGTTGAAACTAGGCTTATGGACCACAACAATTATTATTATTTCTTTTTAATGGTTATTCCACTTTCAAATATAAACAAAATGAATTAAGGTTCCCCAAAGAACCCAACAGGAGGCAACCATTAGTTCACATCATGCCCATTGTTAAATGGATCTAGTACTTGTATCAAAATTTTGAAGAAGAAGAACTCTTCATAAGGCTGTCCCAAGAAAAAAAGCAAAATGAAGATAACAATACTACCCACAAAAGCGTCAATCACCTACAGCTAGCTGCTTCAGCACCATCAATCTGTCTAGCTAGAATATTAATGCTCTCTTGCCACCTTAAGATACAGCCTCTTACCAAACTTCATACTCACTTCCCATCTTACCCCACTCAATAAAAACCCAATTCTGTTACACCACAATGCATACAACTCTTCTTTCTTCTCACATCAATGCAGTAATTCACCCATACTGCATATATACTAAGAGTGTCCACAAAAATGTCGAAGCAGCTTCTCTTTCTCTCATCATTACTACTTGTACTGATCTTCCTCTGCTGCCCCACAGTTTTTGCTCAATCTCTGGCACATGCTTCACTTGCTCAGTCTCCACTGCCAGCAGCACAAGCTCCAGTTTCTCAGTCTCCACTGCCAGCAGCAAAGCTCCAGTTGCTAAGTCTATTATGCCACCTCCAGCACCATCAAGTCCACCTAACATCACTACAATCCTTGAGAAGGCCTGTCACTTCATTACATTGATTAGGCTACTAAAGAGCACCAGGTTGGATAACGAAATTTACATAAAACTCAATGACTCAAGTCAAAGCCTGACCATGTTTGCCCCAACTGATAATGCCTTTGGTAACCTCAAAAAAGGTATTCTCAACTCATATAGTGATCAGCAAAAGTTTCAGCTGATAAAATTCCATCTCATCCCTTATTTCCTTTCACTCCCTGCATTCCAAACTATGAGTAATCCAATGAACACAGAGGCCGGTAGTAATGATCAGTACCCGATAAATATAACCACCATCAGAAATCAGGTGAACATATCAATTGGGATCGTTAACACAACAATATCTGGCACAATTTATTTTGATAACTAGCTAACGACATATCAGGTGGACCAGGTGCTCCTTCCATTACAAATCTCTATCTTTGCGTTGTTCGCACACCAAATAAATAAATAAATGCTGAATTATTACTCAGGAAAGCTGCATACACCATAGAGTCTCTATTACACTATTCCCTACAACACCATCGGGGCAATGTGAATTAAATATCAAATCATATTTTATATCTCCCTGTAGTTGCTAATTCTTTTTTCAATGTAAAACACACTACCATCAATATAAAAGTAAACTTTGATCTCAAGCATTCTTATATATTCATTTATACTCTTCATCATTCAATTGCAAACACAATCTATGTTTCTGTACAAAAAAAATCCCCTTTCATACTCTTCATTGAGACATTTTATCAAACTGGTAGTAGGCAAGAAAATAAATCCCCTTTCCTTGTCTTTGTTTCTGTACAAAAATGATTTTTATGCCTTCATTGAATTTTTCAAATAAATAAATAAATAAATAACAAAAATTGTAGTTTCTGATGATAAACCCACCAAAAAAAAAAAAGTGGAACAAAACCTATGATTCGATTATGGTTCATTATTGGGCAAAGTTTTTCAACAAACAGTTGTTGGGCATGTATTGCAATCATTGAAAATTTGAAGCAACAGATAATATGTTAGTGCTTTAGGCTTTAGATTAGTGCATTTACTTTCAGTTAGTGGATACACTTTTGGTATGATGACGTTTGTAATGTTCTCTCCTATATAACGGAGAGTGTACCTCTTTATTCAATACATCAATAGATACAATTATTCTCTCTGTATTTCTCTCTTTTTTTTACATTGAATTTAACATGGTATCAGAGCAGGATTAGAACCTAGTATTTTCCCTTCACCGGCGGGCGGCAACCTCACCTTAGCCGTCCGCCGGACCTCAACCTATTCCGTTTATTTTCTACACATACCTTCCCATCATTGCCCAAATGAGTGGACAGCACCAATGCGAGCACAAGCGAGCATTGCGATCGGCAATTCCATAAGCATTGGTAAATAAATCAGGACAGCATCACCCTTTCTAACACCAATATGTTTCAGGTAATTTGCAAGCTGGCAAACTCTCTCCAGCAACTGCCTGTAAGTTAAACTGTCATCAAGATCAGTCTCATTTCCTTCCCAGTAAAAGGCAATTTTGTCACCCATTCCGGATTCTACATTCCTGTCTAAGCAGTTGTAGCAAATGTTGGTGATACCACCCTTGAACCACTCGATCTTGATATTCCCTTTTCTGATATCGAGATTCTCCGAGTAGATCTCTTGGCCCCATTGCTGTTTCCAGTAGAACTCCGACGCAATATCCGACCAAAACCCAGCAGGGTCCTCAATTGACCTTCTATACATCTCTAAATACTTTTGGGGAGAGGGGATGAGAGCCTGGGTGGAGAAGTGATCGCTGGGGAAGACGAGATCATCATCCTCGGAGGCAAGTGCCTCTCCAAGTATGACAGCATTCAATTTGGGTATCTTCCCCGCTCCCGAAGGCATACTCGCCATCGAATCCATATGTCGAAGCTGCTGATCCGCTATCCTCCTAGTTTTCTTTAGAGGACTAGCAGCAATATTGCTATTGAATTCACCGCCGATCTAGTCTCCTTCTTGAACGCTGCTCAAAAAAGAGAGAAATACAGAGAGAATAATTGTATCTATTGATGTATTGAATAAAGAGGTACACTCTCCGTTATATAGGAGAGAACATTACAAACATCATCATGCCAAAAGTGTATCCACTAACTGAAAGTAAATGCACTAATCTAAAACCTAAAGCACTAACATAAAATATACATAAAATATATTAACAAATATAAAAGTGAAAGTGTGTGGTAGTGGGTTGACAACTACAAATGCACTATGATGGATATTGTATGTTAACAGCCCCCCGCAAACTCAAGGAGGGTAGGCATAAACCAACTTGAGTTTAGAGAGAGTAACAAAACAAGAAAATAAACTGACAAATAAAAGTGGATAGGAGACACTGTATGGTCGTGTCAAACCGTTGGTGAAGACACTGTATGGTCGTGTCGAACCGTTGTAAAAGCTAACCGGAATCAATGTCGGGACAGTTTACGGGGTCATGCCGGACCGTTGTAGGAGCTAACCGGAATCAATGTCGGGACAATTTACGAGGTCATGCCGGACAAGCTAACCGGAATCAATGTCGGGACAGTTTATGGGGTCATGTCGGACCGATGGAGAAGCTAACCGGAATCAATGTCGGGACAGTTTATGGGGTCATGTCGGACCGTTGTAGAAGACACTGTATGATTGTGTATATAAGCTGCCCAAAAGATATACATGTATATATATATCGAGCCCTCAAAAGTCGCGCCCTCAAAAGGCGCGCCCACTGCATCAAAAGCCGTGCCCGACAAAAATCATCGAGCGGCGAGCCATCAAAAGTCGTGCACAGACACGCGGCGATGCACGTGATCGACAGAGCGCGTGTCGTCCTCTTCGTCATTATCTTTATAAACCGATGCGGAGGCTGTGCAAACCAAACGAGTCTGAAACATCTGAACATTTGCATTCTGAAACACTCTGCAACCAACCCTTTCTGACATTACCAGTCTGAAATAACTGCTTCTCTGAAACACTTAGCAACCCAAAACATGGCCTCTTCTTCCCGTGGTCTGCTCACTCTCTTTCCAGACCTCAACGAGTCCACAAGAGAGATAACTGGTGCGGTTGCCCTTGAACCTCAACCAAGCGCCCCTGGGTTTGCTCCGTTGACCTTTCCTATGCGGTCTGTGGAGCAAATAATGGCAGCGCAATCAGATATTGAGGCCAATCAGTATACATTGAAGTCATGTGTGGAGACGATGACTGCAGTCACAAACTCGTCGCACCGGCTTCAGAGTAGGACAAATGAGGTGCAGCAGTTAAACGCCCAACTGGCTCTGCTCCAGCGCATGTATAAGGATGCGCGAGCAGAGATATGTGTGCTAAAGGCGGCAAACAAGGAGCTGAAGCGAAAGGCCACCGTTATGTTCCGATTCGGAGGTCCGCCATATGCTGCAGTGGAGGAGCAGGGGGAGTGAACGGACTCGACGGCGTGAGAAACACGGAGGCAGCACTATCAAGGGCCGCCCAGGACGGAGGCAAAAAGAAGAGACCGGCGGCAGAGTTGAGAAGGGATAAGGAAAAAATCCCGCCTGTGGGTGGGTGTTTGTGTGGGTTTTGTTTTTTTGTTGTTGTTGTTGTTTTTTTTTTTTTTTTTTGTTTTTTTTTTTTTTTTTTTTTTTTTTTTTTTTTTTTTTTTGTGTGTAAAATTGTGATCGGGGTTGATCCCGGCAAGAAGAAATGACAAGTTTGTGGAATGAAAATGAGTTGGGTGTGAATGGGTGTTTTGTTTAATAATAAAAATAAGGAAGATAAAATAAAATAAATAAAAGGGTATAGTGGGATCAGACGGCGTGGTGTGAAAGTGGAGTTTAACATAAATAAATAACAAAAATTGTAGTTTCTGATGATAAACCCACCGAAAAAAAAAAAGGTGGAACAAAACCTACGATTCGATTATGGTTCATTATTGGGCAAAGTTTTTCAACAAACAGTTGTTGGGCATGTATTGCAATCATTGAAAATTTGAAGCAACAGATAATTAGAAGAAGTTGTGCACAGCACAGGGTTGATAAACCAAACATCAAACTATTGTTCTAATTTGACAAATCACATCATATTGCAATAACAAAACAATCAAATTTGAACAAAATCTACATATAACCATAAACATAAAGAGAAATTATATAGACATACATACAAGTATGAACCAAGTGAAGAGCCTCGCAATGAATTGATCAAGGTCCTTATCATCCAAAGGCTGATTACCATTTCCAAGAACTGAATACTTGGCCACCACATGCTGCGATTGAAATCAGAAAAGCCCTTGAAATCAGATAGGATTGATCTTTTAACATATCTCAGTTATTCAACCCGAGGAAAACCACCAATTACAAACCCAAATCGATCCAAAACCCTTCTTAATCCTCACCACACCCAAATCCGCCTCTGAAATGGGCAAAATAAGCCCCTAAATCCCCAGAAAAGTTTGTCAAATGTAGAAATGACCTAAAAAATTCAATATTTTAATATAATCAGAGAACAAAATCAAAAACCCAAATTGTTCTTATCAAATCTTCAACAAATAAAGCAAACCCAGTTAAGGAATTGAAGAAATTTATGATAAAACCTAAAGGTTGTTATGGATATGTTTCCGGCAGTTATGTAACTGATGAAAGGAAATGAGAAAATTGCCACTATTTATTTTCTCGACTGTGAAACGGAAAAAGAAAGTGAAAGAAAAACAAAGAAAAAGAAGAAATAAAGTAATGATACAGGGGACTTATTACGGATCGGATAGAAAGAAAGAAGGAAGGACCTGATTGGAATTATGTAAATAACCCAAATCTCTTTTCACTCATTCTCTCTCTCTGGCACGTCATCCGTCTCGCCGTTGATGGATAGACAGATATATGAATATAGAGAGAGAAAATAGGGCAAATCGAGGTGAATCAGTGCTTTGGTTGTCCACGACCGCGAGGGAGAGCGGCTGAGGCGCGGCTGGCGGAGCGGCAATGAGAGAGGGATGGGGAGGGGAGTAGCGAAGAGGGAAATGTAGTGGGAGAGAGAGAGAAACGCTGAAGAGAGAGCGAGAGATAGTTGCCAATTAATTTTATAAATCCTTCCAAAATTTGAAATGTGTCCTTCCAAATATTTTAGGTTGCATTTGGTAGAATTTTGTAAATATGATTTGAAAGTATGAATTTTATTTTGAGTTTGTAGGTTGTGGAATTATGATTCGAGTGTAGAAAATTTGTTTGGTTATGGTTTTTGAAGAATATTGAATTGAGTTTTGAAAGTTTGATTTGACATGTGAAATAAGAAAATTTGTTTGGTTATGAGTTTTGGAAAGAATTTTCAAAACTTAATTGAAATTGTTATAACACATAACAAAACACACTACTTTCATACTATTGAAAATTCTAATCAACACTCATAACCAAACTCTTTTTAAAATTCAATTAAAAAATTTTATTATTAACAAAAAATAACATTAATCGATTTTTTAATTGAAAATACTACAAAGGAAATAAATTTTTTTTCAAAATAAATATTCAAAAAATTTAAATCATAAATATTTAAATAATCTAAAAAATTTAATAAGTAAAAAATTAAAATAAATATTCAAAAAATTTAAATTGTAAAAAATTAAATAATTTAAAATGTTAATATTTTAAATTTAAAAATAACTCTACACTCAAATCGTAACCAAACAAATTAAACAAAACTCAATTAAGAAATTATTTTTAAAACTTATAACCAAACACATAACTCGAAACTCCATACTTCTTTCACAACTCTACACTCAAATCGTAACCGAATACATAACAAAAAAATTAAAATATTTAAAAATATTTTTATAAAATAGAGTTTGAATTTATTTTTATAAAATATTTTAAAATTTAAAAAATTAAAATCGAAATATTTTGAAATTAAAATATTTAAAAATATTCAAAAAATTAAAAAAATCGTAACATATTTAAATATTAAAATATTTAAAATCTTAACAAAATTAAAATATTTTTAAAATATTTAAATATTTTAAATATTTTAAAAAATTAAAATATTGATTTGAATTGAGTTTTGAAAAGAATTTTGAATTATGTGTTTAGTTATGAATTTTGAAAAGTAATGATTATGTTTTGAATTGAGTTTTGAGATATAGGTGTAGAATTACGATTTGAAAATTCAAAACAAACAATGTACTCAAATCTGTGGGTGGAACTATAATTTGAAATCCTAACCAAACGGAGCCTTAATTTTTTAGCGATTAAAATTATTTTTTGTCACTGAAAATAAATTTTTGGCGACCAAATTTTTGATCCCCAAAGGTAAAAAATAATTTTTTATTTTCTATTCAGCGACTAAATGGTTTTAGTAGCCAAAATTCAATATACGGCGATTAAAATATTTTTTTGTCGCTGAAAATATGTTTTTGGTGACCAAACTTTTGGTCGCTAAAAATAAAAAATAATTTTTTATTTTACATTCGGCGACTAAATAGTTTTAGTAGTCAAAACTCAATATATGGCGACTAAACTATTATTTTGTCGTTGAAAATATGTTTTTGGCGACCAAACTTTTGGTCACCAAAAATAAAAAATAATTTTTTATTTGACATTCGGTGACTAAATGGATTTAGTAGTCAAAACTCAATATACGGCGACTAAATTTTTTTTTTTGTCGCCAATTCTGATTTTTTTAGCAACTAAATTTTTTTTAGTCACTAATAATCAATATACCCAGACTAAAAAAAATTAGTAGTTGAATATTGTACTTTTGCCGATTAAAAAAAATTTTGGTCGCTAATTCCACAACTTTTGGCAACTAAATTGTTTTTAGTCGACAATTTTAGTAGCCAAATGTGCATTTTGTTGTAGTGAATTCTAGAGGTGCCTCCCACAATAGTGTAGCACTTAGCTCTATACAGCACTTTGCTCCGCACAGAACAGAGGTCAATAGATCCATGATAAATAGAGGGCTACAAGGTGACTAATTAGAAGCCAATGATTTATTTAAGTCCCCCAAGGCGTGGGACTCCCATGGTGATACTTACAAAAAATAATTACTTATAAGATCATTGTTAAATACTTATTAAAATTTAAATAACATATCCATGGGTTTCAATTTAAGCAAATAGTGGTAAAGAAATAATCTACGTAATCGAAATATTAATATAATTTATAAAATATAAATTACATAAAATAAATTATGAGAACTCATAACATACGTAAAATATATTATAGTGACTCAATATATAACATAACTCACCTTAATGTTAATTCTAACTTTTATCTTCCGTTCACTACCACCCATTAAATACTCTAAATTAAACTCAAAGTTTTATTTGTATAAAACAAAACAACTAGAGTCAGAGAGAGAATTAGAGGGTCTGGGGGAAATCCCGAGGCTGCATAGATGATTGTCGTCTACATATCTATATAACAAAACAACTCTGTTTTTTTTTTCTTGATGGGATTTCTGTCTCTTTGTCAAAATATGAACCATTGGATTGAACTCAATCCAAAGGCTTACAGTGTCTCACTCTCTATTTGGTCCAAGATCATTTTCAACCCACAGCCCCTGTCTCTCAGACACACACACTCTCATCTCTTTGTTTCTGATTTCAAATTTTGAATTCTGACCCACCTTCTCTCTCTCTCTCTCTCCCCATCAACCCTTGCAGGCAACCGAACCCAAAACCCTATTAGTTTCTTCATTTTCTCTTTTCCTCCCTTCTCTCTTCCTAATCATCATCTTCTCTCTTCCGACCGAATGGATCAACTATATATATGACTCAGAGATGGGAGATTCAGAGATTCAGAGATGGGACTTAATGTATGTACATATATGCATTTGTTATCATATCTTATTCTCCGAGTTTTGAACCATAACATCGTGCAAGGTATATTTGGTTCAAGTGAAATTCATGTTGGTCTGTTTGGTGTATTATTCTCTTTATTTATTTTTCCCCCCCTATTTTATTTATTATTTATTTAATTTGTGATTTGTGAATCAGATCATGCTTGATCCACAAGGGGTGAGTAAGGGTTCTGGTTTTGTGGCCTTCTCAACCTCCATGGAAGCTACAAGAGCTGTAAGACTGCCTTCTCTTTTTGAACTTCAGATCTCTCTTTCCTATCATTCAACCACAGAGTTTGTCTAATTCATTGTGTTGATTGTTATCCATGTTCTTCAGTTGAATGCGATGAATGGCAAGATGATTGGACATAAACCTTTATATGTTGCTGTGGCCCAGCGCAAAGATGAAAGGAGGGCACAATTGCAGGTGATTTTCTTCATTGCATCATTTCTTAGTAATGTAATGTAATGTAATATGCTAATCATATTATTTAATTTTGATGATGTCTAAAATATATTAGTTAATATACATATTATTTGACACAAATTATTATCTTTTTAAAATATATATTTGTTAAATATTATTTAAATAAAATAATATTATCTTTTAAAAATATCTATGTTAAATATTATTTTAAATATTTTCAAAAACTTTACTATTCACTTTTTGAAAAATAGGGTTAATTACTATTCATCTTTTGACAAATCGATTAATTATATTATTTTGACAAAAATGATTATTTTAAATATTTTCAAAAACTTTACTATTCACTTTTTGAAAAATAGGGTTAATTACTATTCATCTTTTGACAAATCGATTAATTATATTATTTTGAAAAAAATAGGGTTAATTACTATTCATCTTTTGACAAATCGATTAATTATATTATTTTGAAAAAAATAGGGTTAGAGATTTTTCTGTATGCAAAATTTTGATCAGAACTTATATAACATTATATGCAGAATACATCACGTGCGCTATTAAATTTTTTACATTGCATTGATTATATCATATCACACTACACTACATTGATTATATCATATTATAATTAAACAAAAAGAAAAAGATGGAGTTATATATATATATGTGTGTATATATATATATATTATAAACTAGATGGAGAAAATTATTTGTTTGTTTGAAAGTTGTGAACTTTATATTAAATTGTCTACAAAAACGGTGGCTCCATGTTTGAAAAAAACAAGAAGAAAAAATCAATCTTATTTTTATCTTTTTAATTCTTATCATTTGCTGACTATTTAAATTTAAGGAGTGTGCTTATGTAAGCAATGACATCAAGAGCCTGCTTATGTAAGCGATGACATCAGGAGCACGCTTATGTAAGCCATGACGTCAGGAGCGTGCTTATGTAAGCCATGACGTCAGCAAGGAGCGTCCAACGGGTATATTTTTGTGTATAAATAGAGGTGTTGGATGTGGAGAAAAAATCAAAAATTCTGAATATTGTGTTATTTTTAATATTGTGAAATTTTTAATAACCCAATTCATCCCCCCTCTTGGGTTGCCTATCTGGGATAACATAATATAATCTCTCTCTCTCTGATTTTATATATGATTTTATATATGATTATGGAGGTATATTGATTGAACTTCAGAGACAGTTTTTAAACCCTTAATTTGTTGTCATATTTTTTTTTCATCTTATTTTTTGTTCATCTTTTTCATCTTATAGAATGACTCGATAAGTCATGTATTGCAAGTGTTTGATAAAATGACCCAATAAGTTTTCTTTATATAGGCACACAACTAGAACCTATTTCCTAAACACAGTTCAGGAAATAAACCAATCATGTTTTTTTGTTTTGTTTTTTTATTTTTTGGTGTGAGTTTATTGGACTCAAATCAATTATGATCATTACACATGTGTTTGATAGAATGATCAACAAATTGGACATTTTTGGGGATTAATCTAAACAGTTTTTTGGGGATTAATCTAGACAGTTTTTTGTTGTAAATGGGACAATTTTTTGGGGATTAATCTAGACAGTTTTTTGTTTTGGTTGTGAAGGTTTGTTTTGGTTGCCTATTTTGCCATTCTTTTTTTTTTGGGGTCTATTTTACCATATTAATCTAGACGGCTCTGTTTTTTTATTTCTATTTTGGGTCAGACAATTTTTAAACCCTTACTGTATTGTCATGTTTTTTTTTTCATCTTATTTTTTGTTCAGTTGTCATATTTTTTTTTCATCTTATTTTTTGTTCATCTTTTTCATCTTATAGAATGACCCAATAAGTCATGTATTGCAAGTGTTTGATAGAATGACCCAATAGAAAATGTTTAAGTAAGAACACAAATCAAATTCTTACCACAATGTTTTGATATGAAAGGTCTTAAGGAAGTCCACAATGCTTAAGACACAATATTTCAATCACAAACTGTAAACATCAATAAAGCAATTAAATTGGACAACCTATTGTCAATATCTGGAATTAAAGATTATTGAAACAAAAGATATTCACAAAATAAACCAATCATGTTTTTTTGTTTTATTTTTTTATGTTTTGGTGTTAGTTTGCTGGACTCGAATCAATTACGATCGTTACACATGTTTGATAAAATGACCCAATAAGTCATGTATTGGAAGTGTTTGATAGAATGACCCAATAAGTCATATTAAATTTATATACTCCCCAAAAGCTTTTTAACGATATGCATCCAAAGTTTTAATCACAGTAGTTTATAATCTTAAAAAAATATCATAAAATCCTCATAACTAAGGTCACTTGAATTTATAATTAAACATCACAAAATTTCATAACCAAAACCACCATGGGTTATAACCATAAACACTACAAAAAGTCTAATAACCAAGTTATCATAAATTTGGCCATCACAAAATCTTATAACTAAATGTCACAAATCATTAGAATTATGGTTGGGAAGGTTTGTTTTGGGTTGCCTATTTTTCCATTCTTTTTTTTTTAATTTCTTTTTTACCATATTAATCTAGCCAGCTCTGTTTGTTTGTTTGTTTGTTTGTTTTTTTTTTTTTTTTTTTTTTTTTTCTGTTCTGGGTTAGATAGTTTTTAAACCCTTAATTGGTTGTCATATTTTTTTTTCATCTTATTTTTTGTTCATCTTTTTCATCTTATAGAATGAACCGATAAGTCATGTATTGCAAGTGTTTGATAGAATGACCCAATAAGTTTTCTTTATATAGGCACACAACTAGAACTCATTTCCTAAACACATGTTCAGGAAATAAACCAATCATGTTTTTTTGTTTTTTTATTTTTATTTTTTAGTGTGAGTTTACTAGACTCAAATCAATTATGATCATTACACGTGTGTTTGATAGAATGATCAACAAATTGGACATTTTTGGGGATTAATCTAGACAGTTTTTTGGGATTAATATAGATAGTTTTTTGTTGTGGTAGGGAAGGTTTGTTTTGGGTTGCCTATTTTTCCATTCTTTTTTTTTTAAATTTCTTTTTTACCATATTAATCTAGACAACTCTGTTTGTTTTTTTTTTTTTTAATTTCTGTTCTAGGTTAGATAGTTTTTAAACCCTTAATTTGTTGTCATTTTTTTTTCATCTTATTTTTTGTTCATCTTTTTCATCTTATAGAATGACCCAATAAGTCATGTATTGCAAGTGTTTGATAGAATGGCCCAATAAGTTTTCTTTATATAGGCACACAACTAGAACCCATTTCTTGAACACGTGTTCATGAAATAAACCAATCATGTTTTTTTGTTTTGTTTTTTTATTTTTTGGTGTGAGTTTACTGGACTCAAATCAACGATGATCATTACACGTGTTTGATAGAATGACCCAATAAGTCATGTATTGCAAATGTTTGATAGAATGACCCAATAAGTCATATTAAATTTATATACACCCCAAAAGCTTTTTAACAATATGCATCCAAAGTTTTAATCATAGTAGTTCATAATCTTAAAAAAATATCATAAATCCTCATAACTAAGGCCACTTAAATTTATAATTAAACATCACAAAATTTCGTAACCTAAACCGGTTATATCCATAAACACTACAAAATGTCTAATAACCAAGTTCATCATAAATTTGATCATCACAAAATCTTATAACTAAATGCCACAAATCGTTAGAATTATGGTGCATGGTACACATTTTTCAATGTTTATTTTATAACCAAAACCACCATGTGTATCAAAGAATTTTTCAACGTTTGTTTTAATTAACTCTTAAAAATTATTTGTGATATAGTAAGTGTAAATCAGCAGTATAACGCAGCGGAATAAAAATTATGGTCATACTTTTCCTACAGAGTCTGAATAGAAAAGATCTCGTGGGTAAATCACGTGCTTCCTGAATCTGATCAGTCAACCCAGCAGTGGGGTGATATTAGGCTTTGATCGTTGTTTTTGGGAGAGAGTCAGAATATGGGAAATTTCTGAGTGTTTTAGACTTGACAGGAGGGTCTCAATTTATACATGTATAGGGGAGAGAGGAAAAGCCTCCAAACCTTTATGGCTGGTCATTAATGCACCATTAACCTCTGCAATAAAGGCAGGAGTTACAAACCCCATTAATGCAGGAGTTACAAACCCTATTAATGTAGGAGTTACAGTTATAAATTCAAAGCATTTAAATGGTCATGCCACATGGGCGCCCATTTCTAACATCTCCCACTCGCACATATAAATTCAAAGCATTGAAATGGTCATGCCACATGGGCGCCCATTTCTAATAGTAAGTTTTCAGCTTGGAAAACAGAGTCTTTTGACAGGGCATTCAACATTAAACCTATAGTTCTGAATGTAAGTTTAATATTTCTTTTGTTTCTTTTCTATTTTTGTTGGTAATCAAGTTACCGATAAATTAAGGTGAACATGCTTTGCATCTCATGAAGAATTATTCATTGCTCATATAGTAAATGAATGTTTTCTTTATTTTGCTCTCATGTTTTACATATTCACTGTTGTATTTTTATCTTCATTTCATTTTTATTTTAGCCACTTGATTTTTTATTAAAAAAAAATTCCCCCTTTCCATTTGCATAAAAGAGAATATGAACAATGAAGCAAAATAGGATTGGTAAGTAGTGGAAAAATTGGGAGTGGAAGGAACTTTGGAGCAGTGGCCAATAATGTAGCTCTTGATAAAAAATAGTACTGCTAGAACTTTTTATTTTTATTTTTTATGATTCGTTTCAATCATCGGGTCACTTTTCTTCCATAAGTTTGGTCACTTTTTTTCCATAAGTTTTGCTTTCTTTTATTGGTTTTCTTTATCTTTTTTTGTCCAAAGTGTATTGTGGAAGTCTCAGTAGCTTTACTGTGAGCGGTTTTGGTGGATGTTAGAGCAGTGGGTATTTAAATAGAATGAATGTCTCATCATCATTTAGTGAAGTGGGTATTCGATGATCACATAGTTTTTTTTGTTCTCCTAAAATACCTTTATTTTTTTGTTCTCCTAAAATACCTTTTTCAAATCTTAGAATCAGATCCTTCTATTTATTTTTGTTGTGAGTTGGGTGTTGCCTTTTTTAAATTGATCATGACATGTTTGGAGTTTTTATTTCAACAATGTGATTACGGCAGTGGAGTTTTGGTTTCAAATGTTGAGTTTTGGTTTCTTTTGTGAAACACCCACATCTTATTAGCATTTTTGGAGGAGTTTGATTATTTAAAGCTCTGTTTTTTAATTTTGAAGGGACATTTGTCTATATCATTTTCGATGGTGATGATTTTGGCTCAGATAGCTTTGACAAGACGTTTGATTCAGTTTATAATTCAATTTAATAACGAAACTGCACTGTTCAAAGTAGCAGCTCATCCCATTTGAAATCCATTTCAGCGGCTTTGCAACATCATCTCTTCCCGTTTCTCTCTCGCTCTCTCTTCAACGGACCACCATCAAGGTAATGCCACTTCTCTCTTGCTCTCTCTTCAAACCTCTTCTATTTCAACATCTTTTGTTTCAATAATCTTTACTCTAATTTGTGAATATCTTTTGTTTTAATAATCTTTAATTCCAGCAGGTTTGTTACTCAATAATATTGACAACAGGTTGTCCAATTTAATTGCTTTATTGATGTTTGCAGTTTGTGATTGAAACATTGTGTCTGAAGCATTGTGGACTTCCTTAAGACCTTTCATATCGAAACATTGTGGTAAGAATTTGATTTGTGTTCTTACTTAAACATTTTCTCTATATATATTTTTTGTTTGCTTTTCTATCTATTTGTCCACTTTATGTGCAGAAGTATATATTGGTTGACTTTACTACTACATATATTTCTACTCATTTACACCCTTTGCTAGGTTGGGGTAATGTGGCATATTTAAAAATTTTAGGATTTATTAATTTGTAAGAACAATGGTAAGATTCATTAATGTTTTCTTTTGTTGAGGCGTCCAAGTTTGAAGACATTATATGGCATACATTTTGTAAAGCTTGACGTTAACCAATTTTGTAAAGCTTCATATTGATATATACTTCAATGGATTTCTAATATTTTTGTAAAGTCTATTATCAATGTAAAAGATTGGACCTTATGGATGGTTATTGAGTGTGGACTATCAAGTGCCCTTGAAAATTCACTAAACTTAAGTGCAACAATTTAATTTAGTATCTTTACATATTTTGGTGGAATTCACATATGCTTGACATGAATTTTTGTATAATTTTAGTGTCTATTGTGTAAGATGTTAGAGTCACATTGAAAAAGAATAATTTATTAGTGGGTTGAAGGAGGAGAATGTTAATAGTATTGTTGCCTCTTAATTTGATCTTGGTTATGAATTTTATGTTTCTTCATTAAGAAAGACCAGTGTATTTTGATGCACTATTTTCATGGTTTGTTTTTGAATTCATTTATCTTTTCAGGACCTCTGACATTCCAACACAGCTGGTTGTGAAAGTAGTTTCGATTTGTTGTATCATCCCTGATATTTTGGTATCAACAATAAGGTTAGTCTTCAAAGTAACTTGGGTTATTTTTATTTCATTTATTTATAAGTAGTTAGTTGAAACTGTGAAGAAGTTGGGAGGATTTGAATTATTTCTATTGATATTTGATGTTTTAGTAGACTAATTTAAACTATTCCTTATACAGGGCTAATTTTGAAAATATGCTAGAGAATGAAGTGGGAACTCTTAAAGGCACCACCCATAAAAGATTTGAAATTTATTAGTTATTTATTTCAGTTTTCTTTATATATTTTGTTCCTCTTTCTATGTGAAGTTTTAAATTAGAGTGATATTATTATTTTGAATTGATTTATTATAATTGAATTTCGTAGCATGTGTGGTATCAAAAAAAAATTGCTTGCAGTGCCTTCAGGCATGGGTTATCCATAGTATTTATATATAGACAAGAGGGGATGGGCAGCAAGCAAGCAAGCATGACAATTGGGGGATACGTATTTTCGTTATATAGAAAATATTATGTTTTAATGTATTTTGATTTAGGAAAAATATAGAGAAAAATATAATAAAAATATCATAATATTTAAAAAATAATATCGAATAATAATATAAAGTTAAATTATTTTTTTTGAAATAATTTATAATTAAATAATACCAATATAAAATTTAAAGGACAACTTAAATTTTTGAATTATTACAATCTTCTCTCATTTTAAAAATTTCATCCTCGAAATTTGTCATATGTGTAAACTATCCACTACACATTCTGATAAATATATATTTGATGATTAATTTGATATAAAATATTACCTCAAAAAAACTTTACCAAAAAACAACTCACTATTTGTTTGTCAAAACTAATGAGAAATAATGGATGACTTTAAAAACTTTTCATTGGTTTTATTTCTGAAAATAAAAAATAAAATAAAATGAGAATACAATTAAACAAGCGATTGGAAATGAAATGATAGAATCATATGCAAGAGTTGAAGGAATTTGAGATAAACTTCCATTTCTTTTATTCGTGAACTTTCCATTGATAGGAAATAGTTTTCAAATTAGTATCTTTATAAATTTTTTTATAAATTTTGAAAGATTATAGATTTGAACCTACTTCTAAAAAGTCAAAATGAATTTTTTTTTTGTAATTGTTTTTGTTTTTTTTTTCCTTCAAATTATTTAGCATATGCATGAACGATATATACAATTATATATAAAGTAACAAATAGCTCATCTTAATTACAAAATTTAATGAAATACCATAATTATATATACCACGATTATTGCTACACAAATATTTAATTCAAATACAACTAGCAATCTAGTTCAATGTTTCCCCCATCCTATTTGTGCATGTGTCTTATGCTCTAATGCTTTGATAAAAATAATTTTAAAAACCTAGGCTCTGACTGCAACGATTCGGAATTTTTCCCTCCACTCAAGTGGACTTGAGAGGTTCCCAGCATTTTTGCAGGCAGTCTGAAATTCTGAGAGTTGTGAATTCCCGCTCGAGCGTAGGAATGGTCGCTCAAGCGGACAGCTTTGTTGGTCTGCGCGCTCTAGCGTGGAAAATAACGCTCGAGCGTGGAAAGTGCGATTGCCCTTAACATTTTTATTAGTATATTTGGAACCTCCTTATTTTATTTTGGGGTATTAATCGAAGTGGTAGCATAACAGTAAAGTAAGAGTGAACCAAGAATTTAATTCAAATAATTTTTCTTACGAGCAGCCGTCATTCATTTGCCATTTTCTTTTTCCACACTTTGAGTTTGGATGTGAGGCTAGAACCATTGGAAAGATTATTTACGGGGCTTCGATTTGGACACAAGAACGACCTAAAACGGAGTCCGGATGAGAGAGTTATACCTATTTGAAGTTTTGGAATCTGTGCTGAAAACAGGTACGCTCGAGCGGGAAAATATACGCTCGAGCGGAGAGCGCGAATTCAGCAAGTTTAAAAGGACTTTTCTAGATCATTCTTCACACTTTTCATCTCCTCTCTTCATCCCTCTCACCTAAGTCCGAAAACCCTAGGTCTTTGACCTCAAATGCCTTCCATTTCCCTTTGGATTGATCAAGATCTTCTACCAAAAAATGAAGAAGGCTTGAAGAACTCTGTAGACGTCCCTGAACGTCCCGGGAAAATTCTCTTTTATTCATTTGGGCTTACCATAGTTCAGACTCAAATGTCACGGTTCTGAATCTAATCTCATAATGTGCAATGTGAGATTGATAAACACCAAAGAGTCCAAATCCGGCAAATCGTTTTAAAAACTGATTTTTAGAAAGAAGTGTCAAACATGGACTACTTTGTCAGATACAGAGTCACCACCTAAATATTTTATTTTGGGGGAATTTAGAAAACCCTAACTCGTGCCTAAGGCCACGCGTCCGTCATCACCAAAGTTGCCTGGGCTCGGGAATTTGGGTACGATTGGGGAAGGTCATGTAATGAGCACCCCCGCTCGCCCGATCAAAGATCGGCCACTACTAAACATGATATCTTGTTTTTGAAAACATATGTGCTCTTATCCCGGTTTATTAGCCTAGAATTGCTACGTGATACGCACAGCATACAAGTATAGATTGGATCGTCTAAGTGGAACAAAACATCTCATGTTTGTTTTTAAAAGCGGTTTGCTACTCGCAAGTAGGCTAAAATGCGGACTTTTGCACCCTCAAGTGGGCTTAGAAAACGTGGTGATTTGCCACTCTCAAGTGGGCTTAAAACTTGCAATAGATGAATTGTTCCAATTTAAATAATCCAACCTTCACCCACAAGCATTCAGGCAGTAATATCACATAAGCAGTTAGCCTCATGGCAAGCATGCTATCATGGCAGTCACTCACACACATGCAAGGATACTAAAGTATAAACACTCACCGAGTACCCAAGCCAAAACAGAAACTAGTTAGTAATCAATGCTTGATCCTAGTTCATGTTTAAGAATGCCTAATGCAACATATACAAAATGCAACTAAGATAGGCTCGACTATTCTAAAATGTCATGTGAAATGCAATTTGATACATGTATTCAAACAGGAATTGAAATACAATGTAGTTAGTATGATGCGCCGAGCCCGGTGCATGCAAGACAGATGAATGGATGCAATCATGCGAGCATAAGGATACTAATTGAAACATGCCCTAAAACTAACCATCGTAAGCTAGTAAATAAAAAGGAGAAAGAAATAGGGGTTGGAAGACATGCATCACACACACGCACACTTATTACAATAGTTGGCCCTCTCGACGGAAGGTCCGAATAAATAAATACACCAACTAGCTAATCTAAGCTAATCAAATTAAGCTAGTTATTACACAACCAAAATGAATAATAAATTACAGCTAATTATTACACAACACTCTAATTAATTAACAATCTAATAAGTAAGCAATTAAACTAGCATGCAAACTACATGAATGTGGACTGCCTAAGCTCTGCCTTGAATGATAAAGGATGCATGTTCGAGTCGCCTTGTCGGGAAATCCATCGCGATGCCCCAACTCGCCTTTGTTTGTAATTGATCTCAGAAACCTGCACAAAGTTCCGAGAGAGGATGAAACTCCACCCTAGAGAATCTGTGGGAAGGCTTTGCCCGAACCAGCTAGGGCATGGGAGACCACCTGCCGACCACCTTTTTGGTGGAAACCAAAGAGGTGGCGGCCTGCCAGAAACCTGGTCGGCCAGACCAGTTTCTTCTCCTTGATTTTTGTTTTTTTTGGCAACAAAGAAGGCACGACAAGGTATTGCAAACAATGTGTGCATGACCACTCCTCCCCGGTCATTTGCATAAGCTCTAGGGAGTGTAGTCCTCAACCCTCGGGCACCAATCACGCACTCGATATGCATGATGGCCGAGGAACCGAATTGCACAACTTAATATAGAATGAATGCACATATGAACACATAAATGCCTAAACTCCATCATGTGTAGTCAAGAGTGTCGGCGACCGGGAATCGAGGCACATTTCATCACTTCGAGTATGAAACATCCCTCGTTTCCCGTGTTTGGGCTAACTCCTATCCCAAACACAACGCAACAAACATGGCATGCATCGATGCAACTCCAGCAGGCAATCCTAATGCAATGCCACTTAGCCATGCAAACATGTAAAGCATGAACATGCAAACATGCACCTAGCATACACAATGCTAAAACTAAATGGCATGCACAATGCTCATGACACTAGCATACGCAATGCACATGGAAACTAATATACACAATAAGATGAACAAGGCACGCACAATGCAGTGATCAATCATGCGACAACATGGCACTCAATGCTATGAACTACAATGGCATACTCGATGCAAAATGGACTTAAACCAAAATGGATGGGCCTCAGTCACACCCAAATCAGTGGCCATAGATGATGAAAACAAAGGTCCAAAACTCATGCCAGCACGTACAATACAATGGCCCTGAGCCTAAGGCACAAAAACACAACTTTGCACATGC